CAGCCTCTTCAGTGCTAGAAAAGACAGACACTGGGGGCAGGGTGCTCTGAAGGCTGCTAAACTTGCCGGGTAGTTTTATGTCAGTGGACACAGCTCAAAGCCACGTTGGGGAAGAGTGATGACACAAGGGGCTGGCTGGGCTACTGTCTGGGCTGTGAAGACCCCTGGGGCATTTGCAATAAAGAAAACTGGCAACTTCAGGTATGACCCAGGCAGCTGAATTGGAGCTGAGTTTGCAACGAATGAGAGGTCTGGCAGGATGTTGTTGGTGAACGTTCAACATAGTGGTCCTCTGAGAGGAGAATCCGTGAATGTCAGGACACTCCCAGCCTGAGCGCCCAGAGAGGAGGTTGGGGCTGTTAGTTTGGGTTGGGCATTAAGGAAGGATTCCTAGAAGTAGATAGGAATTCCTGTTAAATACTCAAGGATTTATAGACCCCACGGAGAACTTACTCCTATAATCTAGACTGCAGGCCAAACAGGGCAATGGGGAGGAGTTTGTGGTCGGAAAGGACTTGGGAAAGGAAGTGCTATAGCTGAAAGTGAGGTAGTTTCACTGTCCTTTGAAAGCCTACTAGGGGATTACTTGGTAAAAGATGAAAGATTTATGCAATATGAAGAGAAACCAGACAATGAGTAAACAGGGGGTTACTTGGGTGAAGCCACAGGACACTGGTTATTAACACCTGTGACTCTAATGGATCTCAGGTGTGGGGAAACTGGATTAACTCTAAACCTAGCTAGATGGTAACAATAAATGGTCCATATGTTGCAATATTTCTATATCCCCCTAATACGGAGATGGGGAAAGAAAACTTTCCATCTGGTTGGGAAAGTAGACACAACAAGTCAGGAACTGGCAAAGATAAAGAGAAATATTGGCACCTATTATGAAACATAAGGGCATAAACTATTTGTGAAATACAAGACAAATATGAAAGTAAAGGGCTCAGCTTCCAGAGACTCAATGTGTGCCTCACAGAGCTAGGGTATGTGGCTGGTAACAGAAAAGAAGAGCTTTCTAAAAGTAATGGGTAACAGAAGAGAGGAACTTTGTAAAAATAATGATAAAGAGGTTGTGCAATTACTGTTAATGTAATTGAAATATTAATTGGTGGGATAAGGGAAAGATCACATTTTAGAGTAGAATAATTTTGTTTCTATGTTATATCAAACTTGAGACTCTTAATCTTTGAATATTCTTTGGTTTATGTCACTTAAAATATGTAAATTCAGGGCTTGGTGTGTTAGTTAACTGGTAGAAAACTTACTTAGTATTTGTAAGGTCTTAGCTTTGACCTCCAGCCCATGGGGGGAAAATATAAAAATATGTAAGTCTATTTGGTTCTGTTGTACTACTCTTTTTAAAAATACAATTAGTAAAAAATAATATTTACTTTCAGCAAATTAGGTTTCTTTCTGATTCTGGAGTAATAGTTTAAGTCCAGTACAAAATATTATTATTCTTAGATTCTTCCTAATATAATACATATCTCTTTTTGTTTTGTTTTGTTTTGTTTTGTTTTTGGTACTGGGGATTGAATTTAGGTTCTTGCGCTTGCAAGGCAGGCCACTGAACCGCTGAGCTAAATACCCCACCCTAATATAATACATATCTTAAATTAGAGTCCGACTCCACTGTAAGTGAAAGTCAGACCACAAAGATCAAGTTCAAAAAATGTATTCCCTGTGCTCCAAAGACCAAGGCAAGGTTTCATTAGTAGCATATGATGACCACAGTATCTTCATGGGCCCCTCAAGGAAACAAATTCACTAAATGGTAAGGTCAGTTACACTTATATATGCAATCATTACTATTATATTGTTGTCCTTCTTACTCTAAAACATTTGTTTCCTAATGTGAGTCAATTTGTTTATGTATTTTCTTGTAAAGTAAAAATGGCAGGATAAAATTATTTGAGGGATCACTTTGAAAAAAAAAGTAAACAAATTAAGTGTACATAATACTTAGCTGAAAACCATCCTAGAGGTGTCTATCAAATACTAATATATTTAAACTTAGGGACATTTATAAATCTTGGATAAAGTTGGAAAGAGTTATATTATCTTCAGTAGGTTGTAAGCATTTTCCCCCATCTATCCTGCCACGCATCAAGATACAAAGATGAGTTAGAGTTAAGTTAATATTATTTAAATTTCCTTTACTGGAAGGTAGGGAAAAATTGGTTTCAGAAAAATTAAACTCACTCCGTGGGTGACAAAAATGGGTAATATTCCAGGAAAGTGACAATTCAGGTCATTAATTTTTTAAGGAATGGAAAAGAGAAAAGATGAGGAAATCAAAGACAATTTAAATCATGTCCTGACACCAGGTGTCTGTTAAGAAAGAAAAGTTACAAAAGGGTAGAAGGAAAAAAAGAGAATGCTTACCTGTCTGATTTTGGCAGTGAACAGGAGAGAAAGAAATATCATCCAGGGCAACATATCCTCCTTTGGGACCATTGAAAGCAACTTCAAAAATAACCTAGGAGGAAAATGGCGCAGGTTTACATATTTCTGTTAGGCTTAACCATATTTCACAGTGACATGTCAATCAAACCAGGTGAGTACAAGTCACAAGGAGTTGCAATTATGTTCCCAAACAGAAGTATCGGGAAGCACTCTACCCAACTCATAACCTCTTTTAGGAGAATGAAACTACTATAATCTGAGGGCTTTTGTCCTCCAAAAAGTTTTACGTGGAGATCTAATTCCCAGTGTAATGGTATTAGGAAGTGGACCTTTGGGGAGGTGATTAGTCCTGACAGCAGAGCCCTCATACATAGGATTAGTGGCTCTAACAGGGAGACTTGTTTCCTTTTCATCATATAAGGACAAAATGAGAAAGCACCAATCAGACACTAGATCTACCAGCACTCATCTTGGACTTCCCACAGTCGAGAACTTTAAGAAATAAATTTCTGCTGTTGATCAGCTATGCAGTCTATACCATTTTGTTATCACAGCTCCCATGAACTCAGACTGCCTAAATTTGCATTTATGGATAGATGTTTCCCTGTTCCTTACGGGTCAGCTGTAGTGCCCATGTTGTATTGGATATATCTCCAGAATTCATTAGCATGATGAAGTTAGAATTCAAGGAAAACCAGGCTGAGTGGAGAAAGCAGGCCAGTCTCTCCCCCTGCCCTACAGGGAGCTAAGTCATCTGAGTCTCTATCCCTTACTCCCATGTAGAGCTCTACTAGAGTCACAGAAACAGGGGTTAGAGACGAGTGTCTCAATCTTGGCATGTCCAGGCATGTTCCAAAGGATACAGAGAACATGGGCTAATGAGTGCAAACCCTTTCATTTTGCTGTCTTGTTTGCCACTAAGTCTAAACTCAGTTGTGTTCCTGCCCGTGACCATGGGGGATCAGGTTGGTCAACACAGCCTTCACTTGGGTAGGGAAAACCACCCAGATGAGCAGTCCACGCTGCGTGGGTTGAGAGCATGAGAACACAATATGGAGCAGGGCATGAAACTTAAGCACTCACAAGGGCCAGGCAGGTAGCAAAAATGCATGAAATAGGGCTGCTATGTGCACTTTTGAGAAACGGAGAAAGCAAGTCCATCCAAAGAGGACAACAATCCCTCAGCTTCATCAGTTGCTGATGTTGAGAAGTCAGGCAGGCTACGGGCTGAACTGTGCCCCCTCAAATTTATACTGAAAGCCTGACCCTCAGCACCTCGGTATATTACTTTATTTGGTATATACTTTATTTGGGAATAAAGTGATTGCTAATGTAATTGGTTAAGGTGAGGTCACAGGGAGAACGGTGGGCCTCTAATCAAAGTGACTAGCATTGTTATTTTTTTAAAAAGGGGGGCGACTTTAGGTGGAGATAGAGACAAAGAGAGAGACAAGGGAAGACAAAGGTAGAGACCTCTAATCCTATCAGGACCAAAGACTGCCAGCAAACTGCCAGATGTTGCAGAGAACCCCGAAACAAATTCTCCTTCACATCTGTTAAAGGAACAAATCCTTCACCTGATCTTAGACTTCTGGCCTCCAGAACTGTGAGACCCTAAATTTCTAACTTTTTTTAAAAGCCACTCACTCCCTGCTACTTTGTTATGATAGCTCTAGCAAACAAATAAAAGGCCTAATGTGTTTGCATCAACAAGTTATCGAGAGGATCTGAATCTCTGATTTTACTTGAAATACTTGGACTTTTCAGTGCTCATAAGTAGTTCAAAAATTAAAACAAACGAGCAAAACACAAACAAAAACAAACCATTCCAGGAGCCAGACAAATAACCTTGCACCAGGTGCGACCCACAGGTTTAGTTTTCAACCTCTTCTGAAGACAGTAGCGTCTTAGAGACAGAGAGACCAGAGCCCAAATTCCATTATCACCACCTCCTAGCTAGGCAACATTGGATCCACCACTAAACCTCCCGATGTCTTGCTGTTCTTATTTTATTAAAACAGGGATAATAGCCCCTACCTTGTGGGGCTGTTGAGGAAATTAAATGAGATAATGTATATAAAGACTCCAATACAGAGACAGATACATAATAAGCTCTGAGCTAATTTTACATCTTTTCCTCCAGGCTCTCTCCTCAACTCTTGTTCAAGTCTGTGCCATGCATGCCACTAATTAGCTTGAGTAGGCCTCGTCTCTCTTCCAAATTGCAACTTCATTTTGGAAAAAAAAAAAAAAGATTGGACTAGATGGTTCTTCAGGGCCCTTGTAGTTTAATCACACTGTTCCTCCTGGACCCAGTCTCTCCACAATGCAAGGAGAGCCTGGAGGTTTGTCTCTTGCAAGCAGCAAGGGCTATAAATGAAGGAACAGACATGGACATACGGGAAAGGGCCAATTCCATTCACAAACTTGACAGTGATCCGTGACATTGAGCTCTCAAGGCTCTGGCTGGTAAAGGAAGTGAATGACAGAACACGGCTCCTACTGAGGAGGTAGATTAAGAATGACAATTCTGATGAGAATGTGCTATCCATGGCCTGCATGCCACTGTGTTCTCTCTCATTCAGAAAGATAGTCTCCAGTGTTTGTTTTCCTTTGTAAAATTCGTCTGGGAACATGGTGATATCATGTGTACTGATTTCTGCAGGACAAGTTCCCATTTTTGCAGCAATTACAAGAGCAAATAATACCAGCAACAGGTTCAGACTACTGGAGTAATAGCATATATATATGGACCCAGAGATATCTGTTGAGGGTTCGTCATGTCCAGTATTGTAACTTTTCAAATGCAGCGTATTGATTTATTACTATTGTGTGGTGGTTGTCATACTGGGTATTAAAATGAAGATCTTTGTACTGAGCTACAACACTTCAGAGCTTAAAAAAAGGAGACAATCTCATTAAGTCCCTAAATTGCCCAGTCTGGGCTTAAAATTGTGATCATCCAGCCTCAGCCTTAGTGTAAACATTTTGTATGGTTGCATGAGAGGAGTTGGTAAAGACAACTTATTTGTGTGTGTGTATGTGTGTGGGACTCCTTTCATTATTAATAGAAGAAAAATAATCTGAAGCAGTACATGCATTTCCTTTTTTCCTTGTAACCCAAACTCACAAAAGAATTTCCGCTGGAATGCAAGAGCAAATTGAGGCTTGGTCAGACTTGGGGATAGGAAATAGCACACATTCTGCAAAAGGCACCATGCTTTCTCTGGGGCCTTTGGAGGCTGGGGCATAAGAGGGAGGAAGGAAGGAGGTGGGAAAGTGGCAGGCACGCCATCCGTAGATGGAACACATCAGAAACCAGGACCCGCCCCAGCATTCTCCGCAGCTCTACGGCAGGCTAGCAGATGGCACCAGTGAAAAGCAGCCAGAGGAGTAAGCATTTCTGCACTGCAAAGGGAACCGGGGGAGATATTGCAAAGATGCAAATTAAAGAGTGAGGGGTAACTAAGACCCTACTTGTAGCTTCAAGTCCTTTCAATCAGCACATATAGCAATCACAGAGCTACACCCAGGATCCCGAGGTCCTCGGGCTTCTTGGACAAGACCTCCTCTTTCAGCCGTAGGTCAGATCTCGGTCTCAGAAGTTTCCTAAGCTCTCTGGCATTTGCCAGCTGTGTGGCCTAGAAAAAAGATGTTAAATTTCTTGGACACTGTTTTCCCCTTTCTCATTGGCAAATATGGGAATAATTTTATCTACTTTGTTAGACAGTCTCAAAAGTGCTTTGAAGTTCTGAAACACACACATAGATGTAGATGTGTATTAATATTTCTGCTTGGGAAAAGGTCTGCCAGGATAAACACCAAGATGCCAGTAGTCTTCATCTTTGTAGATGGGCTTAGGATGTTTCAACTTATTGCGCTTTTCTGAATTTTCTAATTCTCTGCACTGGACATTTATCACATATAACTATAAAAATACCTGTAAAATAAAAGCACCAAAGCCGGTTTCAAATTAGGGCTTTAATAATAAGTTCATTTCTGACTTTTGAGACATTATGCTGCAAAGAAAAAGTCACTGTTTTTCTGAAAAGACAAATCCTTCAATGAAGAGAAGGTCTCAAAGCTGCTCTCAAGAATGGAAGTCTAGGAATGAGTTGCACCAAGGAGCCTGACCTCATCTTTTGAACTCTCTACGGTCATAGCACAAGGTGCAGAGAGAGCCTTGTGCCCAGGAGATCTAGTTGGTTGACTGGCTGTTCCCATATTTATCCTTATTAAAAATATGCTCCCCAGCCTGTGAAAGTGATAAAAGAAGATAAAAGGGCACACACAAGAGAGGAGAAAGGTGGAGAAAGGAAAAGAAAGGCTAAAATAGAGGTACAAAGAGGAGCCCAAGGGATGGTTAGATGGGAGGGATAAGTTTTGGTGTCTAATACACAATGGGCTGAGCATAGCTAGTAATCATATATTGCATATTTCAAAGTAGTTAGAAGAGAGGATCTTGAGTGTTCTCACTACAAGGAAATGATAAATGAGTTGATGGATATGCTAATTACTGTGGTTTGATCACTGCCCATTGTATACATGTGTCAAAACATCTCACTGTACACCATAAATGTGTCCAATTATTTTTGTCAATTAAAAATGAAACTTAAAAAATAAATCCAACGTATGCCCACTTGAGAAAAAAAAACCCACTGAGGTGCATCAGGAATGAAAGTCTGGAGAGCGTGTAGCTCTGTGCCCGTGCGTGTCCAGGCCAGAGCACGCCTAGTTCCCTTGCACACCTACCTCCATGGGGTAAGGAGCACTGAACTCGACCTCCGCAAGGTTCCAGGCCGCGTTCCCTGGACTGTCCACTTTCCATATCTCCTCATACAGGCCCGCCCGGTCCCGCGTGTAGAGGGCGAACACGTTGTCATCTGCCTGCTGGAGGAGGTAATAGAAGGACAGGCAGCCGGACATGGGGGCGGTGGTCATCGGGGAGATGAGCTGCGCCACCTCCTGGAAGTGCTTGACATAAACCGAGTCCACGTACATGTAGTGCCCTGGAAATCACAGGGAGAACACGGGCTGAGCCGGGCTGGGTGCCTGCAGGTGAAATGGCACAGTTCTGGGGCTCATTTCAACACAATTCAGTAGGAGCAGTGGAGAGGAAGTGGGTGGGTTAAGAGGAAAGCAGTACGGCATGTGTGGCTAAATGCTGCTGCTGGGAGATGGCACACACTGCCAAAGCTACATGGGGTACATGAGGACCATTGTTTTTCTCTCTCTTGTTTTTGACTGAAGTAAAGTATACAGATAGAGATGGAGATGCATCATCTGCAAAGCGCTTGCATTTTCACAGGATGAAAAAACCCTGGGAAGAAACAGAACAGTGCCCCAGAAGCTGCTTTTTCCCCTTTGAATTACAAGACTTTTAGAGTGCACTGAGCATGCCATCCATTATGAAAAGGGCAGGCAGAGACTCTCTGGACACTCTGACAATTTGTACAGAATGTCACCGTGTGTTTTGTTTGAATGAAACTGAGACTGTGAATTCAAACAAGATGGCAATTTGTGCATCATTAATGGGCTGTGTCGGCAAATGGGACTGGGATTTAGAAGTCCGAACTTGTAACACAGCTGCTGCTGGACCCGAGGAGAAGCCATGCGGCCAAACGGAGGCTGCTTTGATTGGAAAGGTCATCGAGCTGCCCTTGTGTCCTGCTCCCTGCCCACTCACCCCGTGACCTTGAGCCAGTTTCCGAATTGGTCTGGGCCTCAATTTCCTGACCGCTGGTGTCTGCGTGGTCTTGGTGACTCTCTGAGGACTCTCTGAGGAGACTCTAACCTGGATGCTCAAATTCTTTACATAAAATGGAGGCACTATTTGCAGATACCTTACACAATCCTTCCCTGTATCCAAAATCACTTCTAGATATTTTCCAACACCTAACATGACATCAATTCCATGTAAAGAGTTATTTTGCATTTATTAGGGAAAGATATCAGGAAAAAGTCTGTGTATATATTCTGTACTGATGCAAAAATCTTTTTCTGAATGTTTTTAATCTGTTGGTTGATTGAGAGCTGCAGAACCCTGGATACAGAGGGCCGACCACGTCCCTCATAGGGTTGACGTGACTACTGAATGAGGCTCTCTGTAAAGTGTGTCTGACCTTGACACTGCCTAACATAATTATAATAAAGTAATGCCATTCATGACTCTAGAACCATACTTGCCCTATAGTCTGTTTTATGTAAGGGGTAGCTATTGCCATGAGCAATTTTGTATGAATTTACTTCAACAATCACAGAGGGATGTTGTGCAATGTTATCTTGGACAGAATTTTATTTGTTTACAAGCTCAGAAAAATTACTACTTAACTTCTTCAATCTTACTATAAAATGCCTGGTTAATAAGAATTTCTTTTCCTCTACCAAATGAGCAGTAGGAATACTAGGAACAAGACAGCATATGCGGTTCTTATTTTAGCACACTGCTGGTTTGTGGAAGGACCTCAACGTATGGCTTTTTTCAAAGCACAAATACAGTCTCACCAAGGTCATCACCCTAAATGGCAAAGGAAAGATGGACAGATCAAAGCTCACCTTTTCTTAGTGGCAAATTGTTCAACACCCTGAATAATCTCATTTGTTTAAACATAATTTTTCTTACCCGCTTGCTAAGCCACGCACTGTGAATAAACAGAGATCACAAACTCAGATGCTCAGGGGAGCCAGCCAGATGAAGTGCATGCATGAAGTAGATTGGGTCAGGGAGAAAAGAAAGGCTGGTAAATCAGCTGCCAGCACTTCAAGTCATATTTTTCCAGCAACAAGAAACAGAAATCAAGCTTCTCCAGAAAAGCTGGGAAATCCAGTAGTGCTGGGCTCCTGTCCTCAGCATAAAATGGAGGTACTATTTACAGATACTTTA